AAAACCAAGCGAACGCGAAGAATAAAAAGGGAACAACTGCGTTAGCCCAACTCCTTGCACAAAGCAATCGCACGGCAGAATTCGATGATGCGAAAATAATAGATTTCGACAAGGAGACCAGGAAAATAATGGCATTAGAAAGAATTCGTATACAACAACAAAAACACTGTGCAATGAATTACAAAGAAGACATAGACAACATATTATAAATTGCACATACAGAGTTCATAACGAATAATAAAATTAAAGCTGATATGTAGCACTGATGTATCTTTTGCACTGAAAGTAATCAGTAAAATGTGATGACTACAAACATAATTGGTTTAAATTTATGTGATTGTATTGTGCTTAGGTATGGTTAAAAAAAATGTTTGTATATAAACTGTTTGTTTATAATGTTTTCTTGTTTTAGAATAAGATATAAATGGTATCGAAACGTGTAGAAGAAAGAAATAGGAAACAAAGGTTATTACCTAACAAACCAAATGAATTGTTTCATAGCTTTTGTAATTTAATTAAAAAGCTGTATAATGAACTGTTACATTTTTTCCTATACATTGTTGTTTAAAACCAGCTCTATGCAGTACTTTAGTTTTGTACATTTACATGTCTAGTAAATAAAACTCTCGTGTATATTCAGTAGGTCTGAGAATAACATAACATCTATTTTGCACACCGCTTAGTGATAAGGGCAGTCCACCCCTAACTTTTTTTTGTTTTTTTGACAAAAATTTTTGGTTGGAAAAACAAAATAGTTACAAGCTATTCTTATACGTTCAAGCATACGTAGATCCGATTGCCATTTAAAGGAGTTAAGCATAGAGTTATCAGCAACAAGTTTACTTCTGATTTCAAATATTTTCTTCAAAGCAGAGTGATACACATCCTCTGATAGAACAAGAGATTTCTCTTTTAATAGTTTTAATGTTAAAATTTTAGTGTAGACTATTTAGATACAAGTCAGTTAGCTATAAGATCTCGAACATTTTGACAGTACAGAAACATAACTCCTTTCATTTAGAAGTACGCTTTGTATCTTCTTGAAATTCGTCCAAGGAAGCTTTAATACACTGCCGTGCGTATTGACACTTAAAGAAATTACTTGCAACAGCTGTATTTACAAAGAATATAAACGAAACCAAAGTAAAAAAACAAATGGAAATGTTCATGCAAAACAAAAAGGATAAGATGAAATGTCTAAGCAAAACTAAATTTAAAACTTATTGCACAAATAAAGGCAATAATGAATTCGTAATTTTAACTTAACTGCACTATCACTTGGCCGAAATTTGAGTCTTTTTTAACCCAGATTTAAAAAAAGAGCATATCTGTTGTTAAGCTGTGCAATTCGTGCGTGATATATTATGGTACGTACATACCAAATTTCAAACTATCCGAGAAAGAAAAGTAATCTTGATGCTTATCTAATTATAAAGATACGCTCGTAGAAAAATCGAGGTATATCAAACCACAATTTTTTTTCAATTGGATCTGGAATATGAACCACTTTTCCGAAAGAAAACAATAAATTAAAAAACATAAATCGCATCATAAATAGGACTTCTTGGTCAAAAGTTCCTCATTTTAATCTAAGCAAAAATGTTCTTGGTAACCTTATCTTGAGAAAAGCGAATCAGTTCTTTCATTGCTTCAGCAAGGGAATGTAATTTGCATTTTTTACAGATTCAACATTGCAACATTGCTCCTTAAAGCATTTGTCATCAGGTACAATACACTAGCACTAACGTTCTGATTTGCAGTTCTAATATGAACTTTTTTACATGTCTTTGAGCTCTTTCATCGATCTGAATTATCTCTTTGTTACAACACGACCTTCTTTCGTGGATCTTGAGTATAGGAAAGAGTCGTAGAAGTCGATGATAACCTTGAGTGACTAGTTTTTTCAATGTTTTTGACCGAAAAATTGCGCACAAGCAATAATGAGTGAGTTTGTTTTTGTACTTAGAGAACTCTCGCCGTTTGCAATTACTTAAAATATGTTTGATCACTCACTTTTATTTTTTTGTCCAAAAGTTTACACACACTCTTAGAACTATTTTTTTCGACAGTAGAAATCGTCGAACACGCAACCCCTTATAACACTTTTCGTATCTTAAAATCACAAGCAAATATCCAACGAAATTTATTGTCTGCTACATGAAGTTATTTAGGTGTTTTTTGAAAGACAATTCAATTGTTACAACCAAAGTCTGAACACGATTCAGAATAAACTGTAGGCGCCTCTATTCGTTGGCTACAAAGCACCAATTGTATTATTATATGATATATATTTCATCAAACGTTAGGAAATCCATAAAAGTTTAAAATATTTGTATTCTGCTTAGTTTTTTTTTTGATAGCCGGACGATTATATTATGTAGTAATATGGGTACTATGGGCAAACTACAATAGTTATATGGGTACTACATAATATAGTCGTCCGGCTATTTGTATACCGTTTGTCTATGATATTTATGAATTAAACGCTGAAACAAATTTAAAAAGGGTTTATAAAACACATGCAGCTTTTTTTGTTTAAATCTAAATACAAAATAAATAAAACACACTAATTTTTCAACAAAACGATAAACAAAACTGGCGAGGTGTGTAATAAACAAATTTTCTCAGTTTATTTTGACATTGATTGTATGCATTGTACTGTTCAGATTATCCTAGCCAATGATAACGCAATATAACCCAGTAAGTTAAATTCACTGTATTCGACAATATACAGCATCGATTACATTTTATGCAGGGCTTTTGTTTGAAAATTCATTAATTACCACTTCACACCTACGTTTTCTAACAAAGAGCTCAGCAAACTCAACTTGCAGTCCGTTGTAGATTGCAAGCTAAATGGTAATGTCGACAGCACACTATTTCATTGCACACTACCAGCAAAGAGGAAATCTGTAAAGCTTGTCGCTTTATTGTACATTAGCATGGAGCTGGTAATGTGCGAATCTTGCTTCTCTTTTTTCTACTAAATTAAAGCATCCTAAATGAAACATTGAAAACAAAAATGGAAACTTATTTTAATTATTCTTTAAAAATAAATATGAATATAAATATAATATATATATATATATATATATATATATATATATATATGGATTATATATATATATATGAATTTCTTTTAACAATGCATTCAGAAGAAAATGGAACGTCGATATCCTATTTGCGCAAAATTTGAAGCAACGTATTCAAATTTTTTCTTCATACATTGCTCTCTATTCGCCATTGTGATAAATTTTTAACTAAACTTTCATAATTATTATTCGAACTTTGTCTAAAACTTCCAAAACTTTTAAAATTTTTTTTCAATATTTTCATCCAACCTTTCACTAAAAACTTTGTTGCCTGCCTTGCGGCGGAACCGCTACCGAGAATACTAAAACGCATAAATTTTCAAAGTAAAACCAAAGTCATTCTGGGAAAAAATAGTCGAAAACGACCACGCATTATGGATTACGATTTCATATCAATAAACTCATCGATGACGAAATTTAGCACTGGGTAAAAAGTATCTTCATCTACATACATACATATGACCCTTGGATATGTGCATTAGGGAGTCACGAAATGGCTTATGCGCAAATAACTTATATAATTGATACCATGGTTTTATCGGAGACTAATTGAGTCATTTCTCTATTTTTCGATATTTTCCAGAGCGTGTTGTTAAACTTTCATTTAATACCCTGAGAGTTTAAACACCAATCTTCTTTTGGTAGTGCGCATTCGCGGTCATTAACCCTTAAATGCATAGTGTTGCAGAACTTCAACGTACCCTTGAATTGACTATAATAAAAATGATATTGTGTTAATGCATGATGTTGTAAATAAATTACATACTGCAGAATGTATTTTGCCATTTGGCACTATTTTTTTAAAGTATTAATATTTGCTGATTTTCATATTAGCTTTCGCTTGTGGCTAAATTGCAATTTTCTATATAGCATAATTTTTTTAATTATAAAAAAAGTGTTAAAAAAATTCCCATTTCTTTTATATACATCAATAATTCGAAGCGAAGTAACTGAACTTTGTTATAAGAATTCGCCAAAAGTGTGCTCTTATGAATATTGTAGATCTGCAACTCCATGAATTTACTAGTATGAATTTGGTCTAAATTATCATATTGTATTGTAATATAGATGACGTCGATGAACCATCGAGAAATCCAAGAGTATTTGTATGAAATTTGCATTTTTTTTGTATCGATGAAGACGAGAACCAACGCTTTTGGTAGTTTCATGAAAATGACGACGAAGATAATATTTTTAGTGGGGAAGAAATGCAAGAGCTTGACTTGTGTGATATGTGGTTTCACAGCACACGTAGTAATGGACTTATTGAGAGGCGAGCTCGGTGAAAATTTTATTTCACGTTCGGGACCGGCCAATTGGCTGTCTAGATTTTTTTGAGAAACTTTATATGGCTCTTAAAAAATCACCCTTTATAAAAATGCTAATATGAAAAAAGAAAAAATTATTTTGAACACAGATCAAACATCTTTTTAGGCACTCTTACGTAACCATCGGAATTAAAAGATCAGAACTGTTAAACAAATTGTAGAAGAGTCCTCAACTTAGTGTGTTCCGCCAAAAGATCGGCGAACGCATAATGTCAGACATTGGCCACAAAATTGCCTCCGTGGTAGATGCTAATTGCCTGGATGTACAGGATATCCACAAATCAGCTGTGAGATATGTAGATATAGCTGCCATACATATTTTTTTTTTAAATCAAAGAAATAACAAGCATTTAAGGAAGAAATACAACTCCCGCTCTTTAGTGACGAAATGTAATATGGCACATAAACTACTTCTTGCCTATTATTTCCTGCTTAATAATAAGTAAATTAATTGTAATTCATACTACATTGAACATATGTATTTGCATGTTTAATCCCCCGCATCAATACGTTGAAATAGATTTATCCTTTAAAGTAAGCAGTTAGTATAACACATACAATTTTATTTATTTATACATACCTTATTTAGGAAGCTCTAACTGGCTTTGATTTAAAATAATTATGTTCTTAAACTTGATAACAAAAAAAAAGAATGCTTTAAACTTTATCAATTGACATATTAATTGGAATACATACATATATATCTGCAATCCGAAAAACAGGCTATGTCACTACTGGTGTACAACTAACCCATCTTTAAATTACATGGGACCGGGTACGATTCACAATCACTGTCTTCAGGCTTATCGGAATGATTTTGATGCATGTGTAATGCATTTTATGAGAAGCTCAAATATTAATTATATTCAAACTTGAGATTAACATTAGTTTTTTTTAATCATGAGTTAACGAGTCGAGTACTAGTATATAAGCTTAAATGAGACCGAGTTGATGGCATTTTCCACCTCGTTTTGATCGATTTTATACATGCCCCCAAATATATTATTCAGAAAGTTTCTAATCTTTTTATTTCAAACTATTTGTATTAGACTATGAGTATATATTTGCACAACATAAAGTTTTATTTTTGTTTTAATATAAATAGGTTGATTAGTTTTGACACAACGTAGGTACTATGTCAACAGAGTTTAATTTAATTTATTTTTTATATTACCTATATTTTTATTATTATAATGAATTTTTAATCAGTGTATCCTAGTACCATTTTCACTTCAATTACTTCCATATATAAAATATTTGAAAACGATATATATTATTTAGCTTTCTTTTATTTTTCCTTGCTGCTTAACTTATTTGCTCATTTATGATTTAACTACTTATAAACCGAGTTTTGTACATAACGGTGTTACTAAATACTTTTTTTCATAACACAATCATTGGCTACTTTGCCTATGTTTACTTCTTCATTCGTATGTATAAAGTAATTTGTAATAAAACCGGTAGTGCTCACCTCTATCATATTAGCTAGCCGCGTCATCATACCATCTAAGCACTATATTTACTGTACGATCAAATGACTGAGTATCTGGTTAGCGACTTTAGTAAGATACGTGTAACACAATCACAAGTACACGGAATGCGTTCAGAGCATAGCGTGGTACTCTTTCACCGAAAGTGAAACTACAACTGCAGTCCGTTTTTTATTGTATTATCCGCCGTTGCGTAGTGTACGTTGTAAGGAATGCCATCGAAACAACACATATGTAATTCTGATTATTTTAGCGAAACGTCAAGTGATTGTGACGAACAGTGAAGGGGTACAACAAATAAATTATTGGTAAGCGCACAAGTACAATATAATGTAGCTTTTTGTTTCTTGCTGCATGTGTAAAATTCCTGTAGAAATGTTTGCATGCTATTACAACAAACGAATGAATTGTTAGAAATTTGTTCGATAGGGTGCCCAAAAATAAAAGGGATTCGCTTCGCAATGGCAGTTTACTGAGTCTGCGTATAAGCGTAGTTGGTATACAATTGAAAAACGCTCACTTAATATTGCTCAATACAGACAGAGTTACGCCTAGCCACGCCAATCACAATTGGGAATCTAAAAGCCAGTTTCTACTTGTTACGTTATTCTTTAAATAACACACACACATCTCTAAGAACGCAACTGATTCAAAGTTAAAATCACATATTTGGACCGGCATAACCGGCGAAACAGACACGAGATTACGATAACTCTCTTTAAACAAACACAAATAAATCTGTTAAATTTGTACGCTAATGGAGTCCACTAACAATTTGCCCCATTCTATTGTTTAATAATCAAAAATACAAGCAGCAACAAATACCAAGTTATGTACTATCCGCGAAACACTTGTTAGAAAATACTGTAGCCATTGCCAGCTCTCTATCTCTCCATATTATCTTATGGTCAGGTGTTGTTATATTATAAGAGTGTTATCGTTTATATTTCTCTTATTTCCCATATATACTATATATGTGGAGGAAAGAAGAGTACGGACTCTCTTAAATTATTTATACTGTATTTTGGTTGGCTACAATAATATCACCACAGTCAAATGTTGCATCCCTTACCTTTGCTGTTATTTAGAAAACAAAAGCAAACTCCTGATAAAGCGTAAAATATTCATTAATCTACACATATAAATATATACATATACAATATTAATAACTCTTAAAAGGGGCGGTGTATAAGTATAAACATACATACATAGTTGGTTTCAGTCATAACATTCTCTTTCGTAAAGATTGGTCAGTTTCATATTTATGCGAATATGTTTTTATATTAAACAATATTTTTAAGGGATAGGATGATAAACATGAATGGTCAATTTACTAGATGTTGAGAATATGCATAGATAATGACACTTGCTATGAACACAAATCTCTTTTGAAAACATAAATAGAGTATTTTTAAATATGAATACTTACATAATTAACTAAACGATTCAATAAAGAGGCGTGACATAATATGTCCTACCAAGCACAAGATGCAGGCCAATTGCAGTCACACATGAATTTACTATGTAAAAACTAATGTTTGCTTATGGATATTATTGTAGTCTCAAACGATTTCTTTCTCGCAGTTAATAGTACATTAAAGCAATCGGTAGCAACCAACAAAAGAAAAGGCAACACATCTTTGTTATAGAAAAATATAAAGTTATACAGAGGATATATATATATATATAATAGGCTTTTTGTAATCGCTGAAGTGAATTTAATTGGAAAAAATAAAAAATGGCATAATTTGCTGTCTCAACCCGTTGGTAAATAAAATTCGCTTTTGTAAATATCTTAATTTGAGTTCGTTAAGGCCTTAGGCTGTATAATAAATTTCTGATCCTAGCTGGACTTTCAACTACTTGGAGGTGGTTCTCTGTAATTCCTTTGAACAACTTTCAGGATTTAAAACACGTGAATTGAATTTTTCGGCACAACAAAGAGTGATCGTGATCAACAGTAAGATATACAAAACTACACACTCAAAATCATGTCTCAATTAGCTAATAAAATTTTTTTTGCACACTGGTATATAAATATCATTTTTTTGCCTTTTAGCCATTACCAGTTACGGAATACTTTAAATTCTTGTTTTTGATAAAGTAAAGTATAAAAAAAATATAAGATTTCTTGAATATAAGTTTTCATTATAAATTTTTTTTTAAATGGCTGTTGTACATAGCAACGATAACCTGCCAGCTGTTCTTGTTAAGGACGATTGTGCGTGTATGATATGTCAACAGGACATGAAGCTAGAACAACATTGTCTAATAACGCCATGGAATCACGTTTACCATAATAAATGTAAAAATATTTGCCTTAAGGCAGACTTTTAATCAAGATCAAAATCAAAACGTTATTGTTTATACCCAAATTGGACAGATGGTTGAAACAACGTTACAAGTTTACTAGCGAACATGAATTTGCAAGCTACTGAACCAAATGACTCCAACGACGCTTTTGTAAATGCTAATAACCAAATTCCCAACCAGACATATAATAACGCTTATAATGGCGATTTACGACCAGATAGAGTAACTACCACTTTACAGAACTGGCATATTACCTTTAATGGTTCGTCAGACGATTTAAGTTGTGAAGAATTTATCTATCAAACTCGTTTTCTGACTTCTAAAACTTTGATAATGATTTTTCAGCAGCTTGCAAGCACTTGCATGTTTTACTTTCGGGCAAGGCCAAGTCTTAGTATTGGAGATATGACAAACAGGTATCCAGAATAGAATGGCATCATTTTTGTGCAGCCCTAAAGTACGAATTTAAAGATTACCGTTCTAATAATGATATTCGAAAAGAGATTCGCAATCGAAGGAAACGTCCTGGAGAAACCTTCGAACAATTATATGACTCAATTGCTTCTATTGTTGTTCGTTTACCAATTCCATTATAAGAATCCGAGCTTATAGAAATGATCACCTAGAAGTAATGTTGCAGCACTAATAGGGGAAGATAATGAAGAGGAAAATAACGTCGTTGATACAAACCTAAGAGCAATTTTTGCAGCAATAGTAACACTCAATTGTTGGAATTGCGATGCTGAAGGTCATAGTTGGGTCAAGTGTATTGAGGACCGCAAAGTTTTATGTTACGGCTGCAGGGCTAAGAATGTTTACATGCCCTTGTGCAAAATATGTCTAGCGAAAGCAAAAAACCCGTCCAAGGGGGCATTCGATCAGAAGCGGGTGTCGCCCAAGTAAAATTACAAAATGATTCAGATAGTCCGGTTAGCTCAGCCACACCACAATCTGTCAAAGACAATCTATGTTACAAAGTTTTAAGGAATAATGAAAATGCAGGGAGATTGGAAAAATTCATATATCAAAAAATTACATGGCAGTGAAATCCCAAATTTTTAGGGATTTAGATAGTCCTGCGTCAAACCAAAAGATTTCTTGTGCAAGCAATCCTAAACGAAGGAGACTCACTCTAATACGCTGAAGTCAAAGTTTTAGATCACACAGTTTTGGGTCTGCTGGACACTGGAGCAAACATCAGTTGCGTGGGTTAGAACCTCTCCAAAGAGAGTTTTAGCTATTTAACTCAATTTAAGAGATTGAAAATTGAGTACAAGGATCTGATCAAAAAACTTAAAATGTTTGTTATTCCATCTCTAAACCATAATCGGATTTGAGGAATCGATTTTTTGGAAACTTTTTAAATTAGCACCAATCATCATATCGAACGTATCTTTACATAGCTGTGAGAAAGAATTATATATATGACTCTTTCAACCACTACTCGTGTTTGTTGAGAGAGGATCAAAGTCGACAGCTCGAAGCGGTTAAATCTCTATTCCCAGATTAAAGTCGACAGCTCGAAGCGGTTAAATCTCTATTCCCAGATTTGGAAAAGCAAAGCTTGGGCCAACAAGTGTGCTCATGCATAATATTGACGCAAAACCGGTTAAGCAACGTTTCTATACCGTTTCACCAGCAGTAGAAAAACTGACACATAATTAGGTTGATAGAATACTGAGTTTAGGTGTCATCGAAAAATCTAACAGTGCTTGAAGTTCACCAATACGTATAGTACCTAAGCCAAATAAAGTTCGTTTATGCCTAGACGAAAGAAAAATCAATGAATCAACCAAAAAGGATGCATATCCGCTTCCGATGATAGAAAGCTGCCAAAGGCACAGGTTATATCGAAAAGTGACCTGAAAGATGCGTATTGCAGACAGCATTCACAGTAACTGGTAGGTCTTTATACCAATTCTCGGTAATGCCATTCGGGTTATGCAATGTAGCCCAGACAATGTGTGTCGTAGATTAATGGATGAAATTAATCCTCCAGACTTAAAAAAAATGGGTTTTTGTTTACCTGGATAACTTATGCATCGTGTCCGATACATTTTATGCTCACTTGTCTATTTTAGTACGAATAGCTGAACAATTTCGAATGTCAAATTCGACGATAAACGTCAGGAAAAGTCAGTTTTGCGTTACTAAAATAAAATACCTTGGCAACATCATTGGTCATGACGGCATTAAAACGGATCCCGAAAAGATCGAATCCATTTCAAATTGGCCTACTCCTAAATCACTTAAGCATGCACGAAGGTTGCGCGGTCTAGCTGGCTGGTATAGAAAGCGACTGCTGACCACAGAACCCAAATTTTTTAAAAAGTTTTTTGTTCATTGCGATGCGAGCGATTATGGTATCGGCGCTGTTCTAGTGCAGCTCAACAACGAAGGCGACAAGTGTCCCTTGGCATTTATGTTAAAGAAACTTAGCTCTGCTCAAGGAAACTACAGCGTAACCGAGTGTGAATGAATTAGAGCTATATATTATACAATAAAACCATGCAAGCTGAAGCGAAAAATTCCATTATTAACATTCCTTAGCCGGATAACTGGTAACTTATTAAGGACACATTGAAGTTGAGATACAAACCGGACACCGAACCTCATCAAATTTACAGAAGAATTGCCAATTCAAGAGTTAATACAGTAAGGGAGTTAATTGATAAGATTCAAAGTATTAAATATAAAGCAGTTGAATAATAGTATACTATAATGGTGAATCTGGCATAGACCTAACATATATAGACAGCTTGTTAGTAAATACAATTAAAGAAATAACACGGGGAACGTTATTGGACAAAACTTATAAACAGAGAGAATTTAAGAATATTTTATACATAATGAATCAAAGACGATTTGAAGATACGTGTATAAGACCGGAATACAAGACATATTTGAAAGAAGAAAGACATAGGAATCAGTACCAAAATAAACCAAATATTGATAGAACATTTTATGGTAGAGCGGCATTTAATAAGCGTCAGTATCGCGATAGAAACAAATGGAGTCCAAACTTTTATAGACATGAGGCACAAAACAGTTTTAATAGGGATAAAAACTAAAATTATAATATTAATAATAAAAATAATAGTTCTGGAAGATTCAGAGCTCAGAGATGGCAAATTTTCGGGACAGTTCCAACAATTA